AAAAAAAAACTAAACCGGTACCGGCGGTGGCGGTGACGAAAATTGGGAACTAGACACGGTACCGGTTGGGGCGGTACCGGTACCGGTTCCAGGCACCAATTGCTCGTCTCCGGTGACGGTGACGGTACTCGGTACCAGCGGTACCGGCGCCGGTGACGGTACCGCACCAGTACCGTGTCCAGGCCTATTCTGAATTTACCTCCACTGTGGTTTTTTTAGTGGGGTTAGGGGTTTAAGATTATTCTAATACAAATATGAAAACCTAATACGGAGTATATCAAAATAAATAAATAAATTAAAGAGCAACTAACAACTATTCGCAATGCTAAAATAAAATACAGTACAAAATACATGTTATTTAACTTCTTCCTCTCATGTTATTTTTGTCCAGTTTGATTTTTAAATCTATGAAATTTAATATGACATTAAATTTATATTTTATATTAAGATTATAAAATAGTTTACAATTTTTTAAGATAAATCTAATTAAACTATTTTGTAATAGTATATTCTCTACCTTCCAAAACTAAAGCCCAGTGACTATTTTAAACTTTCGATAACTCTTGTTTTTAATGAATTTTTATTGGTCATTTGATAAAATAAAACAATCGTATCACCACTTAATTTATAGAGTTTCTTTATGTAATTTTTAAATATGTGAATTATATTTTGTAATTCTATACCAATTTTTATAAATTTACATCACATAATTTTAGTTTTATAGGTTTTAATCACATTTGGATGTCGAGCTGTTTCGAATCCTTATAGTATACATCCGGACGTATGATATTTTTAATACATCCGAGCGATTACTCTTTTCGAGTAATTGAATACTCATTTTGAACATTTATTTAGTTTAGTATGTATTCAAAATATGTACATTACAAAATATATGCACGTTCATTTGAAAAGTAAATAATACTCATTACGTTTATACAAAACGTACATTTAAGGGTAATATAATACTTATTTCAACCAAAATAAAGATGAATAAGCAATTAATATAAAAAAAAATGTGTGAAATGAGTATTCTGTTACTCGTAGTTGAGTACTCGCCCAGATGTACGAAAAACATCATACATCCGGTTGTACCATATTACCAGTTGTCTCTACAATAAGATTGAAACATTTTAATTTTTTTTCATTTTGCGGAATGTGCGTAATGTTTTATGACAGATAGAATATATTACTCATTTCGTCCGATATAAATTTGTCAAGTACGTGTTACGAAATTTCATCGATTTTATTTTCAATTTAATTTATTTGATTGTAATTTGCAAGTATAAAATTTTAAATAACATTAAAACAACAAAAGAAAAAGTCTATAAAATAAGAGATGATAAAAAAAAATTTCAAGAAAATATAAATTTAATGGAAGAGAAAATAAATTCTGAGAGTGAACAAACACACTCTCATAAGCTCTCAAAAAGATAATAACTCGCCGGTAGATGTTGCGCATTTAACAAACTAAGGGGCTGTTTGGCAAATTCTGAATAGGTAAGTGCTGAACCAGTAAGAGGTCTGAACCATTAAGTGCTGAACCAGTAAGAGGTCTGAACCATTAAGAGCTAGTATATTGCTTAACTATTCAGAGGCAAATGTCTGATCAATTCAGAAAGAGGTCTTAACCATTCAGACTCTGTATAATACTTAACCATTCAGAGACAAATTACTTAACCATTCAGACATCTGAACTATTAAGAGGCTGAAACAAACAATCTGAACCATTAAATGCTGAACCATTCAGACATCTGAACCATTAAGAGGCTGAAACAAATAGCCCCTAAGTATACTAAAGAAGTAACCCAAGTCATTGAAACTCCATCCAAGAAGCAAAGAGTCCAATACAATATGATATGATTGGACTCGAGCACCCAATCTCAAACCGCTCATACCTCACATCAATTGGGGGAAAAGCGTGAGACACGTGACGATGTTGTATTCATCAAACTCTCTCTTTTGCTCAAAAGCCCACACTATCTTCTGTCCATAATACTCTCTTTTCCACATGCAATGCTTCATTTGGGTAAGCATAAAATAAAAGAGATTAAGAGAATGTGCGCAATACAAGAAACTCAACCTTAGCAGTCTTCCAAACATGCCTTAATCCAAGCCATCCAACGGGTTTGAAAAATTTCAATACACCTCCCTATTTTTATTACAAATTGCCTAAAACAAAAGTAAAATAAGTATTTTTTTTAAATTTACATTATTTAAAGATTGAAATATAAATAAAAAAACTTATATATTTAAAAACCACATCAAAAGTTTTACAAAATCAATAGATGACAAAATATTTATTTTTATCAAATAATCAATGAAAATAAACAAGTAAACAACAGTTATCATATATAATTGGGAGACAGAGAGAGTATTTTTTAACTCCTCACGTTACACGTGTCATGGAAGAGGGGCATGATGAAAGTTAATCAAGTCTCTCCTCACGCCCCATAGTACAACCTAAACACCCTTTCAATTTGTCTCAAGAAAAAAAATGTTGAAAAATAAAATTTTATGACTATAATTTGTTTAAACGAGAGAATTTTTTTTTGCGAACCATGATTCACAATCCACATGCCATCTTCTACTTAATTTTCTTTCAATTCTTCACACTCGATATTCTAAGTACTACACTTTGGACTCTAAAATTTACTACTTATTAGAGGTGTATCAAACTCAAGGTTCCCATATCTACTCTTCGAGCACAGGTTGCTATCTACAAACTCCAGACTCTAGTTAAATGTTGTGGAGTATATATAAATAGAGGTTCTACGAACTCCTGACTTTATTTGGGGTGGAGCATAATTTTTCTTTGGCCCGACCTCTCATCTGGACTGTCCCATTTTATTCCGTGTGTGTCCCAATTGAGTTAGTGTCTTCAGAGGCCACTCATTTTGAATAACTATGTTGACCCCAGAGTCAACTACACTTGCATCCCGCAATTAACGTAGATGGAATGATGGGTTGGGATCAAGACTTGGTGGGAGAGTTTTTTTGGGAGGGTGACAATTTTACGAACGAAATACCGTAAATGTCCCAAATGAATCAATATCCTCCGAGACCACTCAAAAGCAGTGTTTTTAAACCCGGACCGGACCGGGCGGTCCAACTGGTCAAACCGCGACCCGGACGCACAACCGGTCCGGTCCAACCCCCCAAACACCCCAAAAAAACTGAGTCGACCCGGAAAAACCCGAGACCTGTCCTCTCCGCCGGGTCGACCTCCGGTCCGGGTTTAAAATCATTGTTCAAACCGAGTGGCCATTGAACTTAGCCAAAAAAAACATAATGTACAATATAATGAAGCAGCAAAAGCAAAAGAACTGGCGAATGAGAGAGAGTAAAGTGTAACGCATTGTTATTATAATACAGTATACTACACATATGGGACATGTACATATCACAATTCATCACCCACAAAGTTTCTTTTGGAAGACAACACTAACGTCACTCGTGTACACAATATTACATTAATTTTTCTCTCAAAAAAAATGAAGTAATTTAGCTTCTTCCCATGCAACGTCTTGACTTGATTGACCAAACCAAAGTTTCCCCATCGCCAGAATCCGGCGGGCAGCCTGCCCGCCGGTATTATGTACATGCGTTGTCGTCGTCATCATCTTCTTTCCCTCCCCGTCGAAATCCTCCAAGGGTAGGGCCCGTCTTTTTTCGTGCCCCCCACCCCCACCCCCACCCCCACGGCGGCAGCAGTGTGATGACCTAACTTTCAATCTGCGGCCTAAGTGTCGGGTTTGTTGTCTAGGGTGCGATGGTAGAGGTCGAGGGTGTCTTTGTGGGTGGGGTCCAAGCAGAGCGCCGCCTCGCAATCTCTGAGGGCCGAGCCGTAGTCGTTCATCGACTCGTGGAACGCCGCTCTCAGGTGGAGCATTTGCAGGTCTGGCTTGAACGATATGGCCCTCGTTAGCTCCTCCACCGCCTCCGTTTCCATTTGGTCGTCCATAAGCACTGCCCGACCCATTCCCCAAAATACCGTTAGAAGTTATCAAAGAACCAACCCAACCAAAATCTCCAGCTAATGGTTGTGGTCCAGGAAAGATTTTTTATATTCTAAACATGCCCCCTCACGTGCACATGCACACGTGAACATTAATTTTTTTCAAAATTAGGTGTCGCTGAGTTTCAAACTCGTGACCTCTTGGTCAACAAAGCTCTGATAGATTGATGCCGTGCCAAAGAACCAACTCAACCAAAAGCACAAGCTTATGGTTGTGGTCTAGAAAAGATTTTTCTATGCATATGAGGGGGTGTGTTAAGAGTATAAAATCAGTGAAGGGGAAAGTACCTGCTGCCCGGTATCTGTAGGGATACGTCCTTAACGGGTCCAGCTGAGTCACCATGCTGAGGTCATTATTTGCCACGTCGCGGTCACAATACTCGGACCGTTTCTCATAAGCCGAAGCATTGCTTTGGGCCTTCTCTATAAGCTCTGTCATTTCAGCATAAGCCGCCTTCTTATCCTGTTTCAGATAATAAACGCGCGCCAGTCCTCGGTGCGCCCTCGTGTGCTTGATCTCCAAGGCGCTTGAGTAACAATGCTCTGCCTGATCCAGTTTCCCACAATCCACATAGATACTCCCCAGATTGTTCAGTGCCTGTCATCACCAAACAAACATGAATGAACTATTTTTTTTTGCATGGATTAAGTCTTCCTATACCCAAATTGAGGGGGGGAGTTGTGTTGTAGGACATACTTGTCCCTTGCGAAGGCCATCTGAAGGGCACCTAAGTGCCTCCTCTAAGAGGTCAATAACGTAGGATGAAGATTCGGAGTCCAGAGTTGTATCGGCTAGGACATACGCCTTAAGAAAGAAGGCTTCGAATGATCTTTGGATTGATATGGATTCCTCGGCCTTCAAAAGTGCTTCTTTGCGGAGCCCGGTGTCATATAGAATCCATCCTTCGTACACTAGCCGTTCGTGCTTGGAGGTGGAATGATTCAGAGCCAATCTCAAGCTTCTCATTGCAGCTTTTTGACAGTTCAACCTACAAGTTAGTTTGTATATTTAAAGGATTTTTTTTACCACTATTCACTTGGCCGTTAGGTGACACTTTTTTTTACCTCGCATTAATAAATTAGACTCAAACCTAGTAAAGTAAGTAAACAATTGTCCAATGGCCAATGTCCACCTTCTTATCACCTATTGATTTTAGGAAGCATATGACAACCATTTAGCTTTAGAACTCTGTTGTTGTGCGTGCTGGAACGAGAATAGTCCTAGGGTGGGTGACCCATCGGGAAGTTTTAAAAAACCGACCCTCCAATCACAACCCACTAGCCCAAACTGATCCCATACAGAATTTCTGCAGACCACCAAGTTTACGGGCACCCACAAACCATTTTTGGATCACACTTTGGTCCCATATTATTTGGGTCTCAATCACTCCAAAAGGATCATGATGTGAAGTAAACCGCACACTTATATTCTAGACTTAAACCAACCCCAAAGTGGATGGACAAATGGGTCCAAACTAATCAAATACGGAATGCCCGAGCTATGGGGCATCCCACGAACCACCAAGTGAATCTTAGGGAAGTGAGATTTACATCTCACTTATAAACTAGACTCAATGTCAGTAGACAAGCTAGTGGAATAACGAGCATCCGCGATAATTGTATGAAATGATTTATATACCTCAAAAGAAGTAAGGACTGGCGAAATCGTAGGACACTTTTCCACGGGTCATTCAAGAGCATCTGATGAATCACAGCCAATGAACCAATGTCATCAACCGAAGACCACCGATCATAAAGCTGCATCCAGCAATCAGCAGAACTCCATTGTTGAACATGCTGGCCAAGGATTTCAAGCATGTGGTCAGCTCTCATTTTCCCACAAAACATCATATGATTTGGCTCCAATGTCAACAATGCTCTAATGTCTCTAACGGCAGATTTGTAATCCTCAATGGCAATAAAACACCAAGCCCGAAGCTCAAGACAGTCTGGAGAGACCTTAAACCCAAGGATCCTGTCTATCTCTGAGATGGCTGACTCAATCTGGTTTTCTTCCACCATTGCAACGGCTCTGTATTTGTACGGGAAAGAAAGGGTGGGGTCCAATCTAGTGGCATCATCCAAATCCGAAATCTTTTGTTTGCCCAGACTGTATAAAGACCGTTCTTGGTACATCCACCCGGTCGCTTTATGATTTGAGATCAACCCATCAATTGTCTCATACGAAGAAAAACGTTGTCCTTGTTTGTATTTAGTTCTTGCAACACCCACAGCAGAATATGTGTGCCCGGCTTCAACGGCTTCTTCAAAGCAAGATTGAGCTTCTTTATAATCTTTCCTCTCAAACAGCACACAACCCAACTGGTGCATTGCAATGGCCTTCTGCCATCTGTCACTCGAGCATTCTCTCAGCCTCTCCAACAACATAACTGTAATTTTGGATGCCATATTATCCTCTATAGCGACCTGGCTAAGGAAATAATACAAAAGAAAAGAAGAATGTCCAATTGCAGACAATCTCTGCCTAGCCTCACTGCTACAAAAGATACTTAAAACCTTAGAATTGTATAAATGACTAGGGAGCTCTCTGAGTATAACCTGCAAGCAAGATGCTGCTAGAATTTGCGCTCTTTCCTCCATGGCATAGTCAATCAGAACCAGTGCTTCGTCTATGTCGGAAACCAATGAAGCTAAATAACTATCACATGAAGACTTCAGCCCTTCACAACAGAATCTATTTGCAAAAGAGAGCATCTCTAGAACTATATATGGCGAACAAGTGTCTTCGAATCTTCCCATCCTACTAAACATATCCACAGCTTTCAGTCCAGCCACGGATATCCCGATTCGAGTGAAATCAATTCTTTCGTTCTTAGCCTCCACAAAATTACCATACAACATGGTTTTCAAAGGAATTGAGAGAGAGGCAATTTTACCTCTGATACATGTGATCACTTCATTGCCAATGCAGAAACACACTTCTCCATCCTCTTCTGGGGCATGGAAGGAACTCTTGTTGTTCGAGTTCCCAAGATCAGAGCTTTGATTCAGTGATTGATAACAGTTGCAGTGGCCGAAAATCGAATCGGGATCATACCCAGGAATCAAAGCAGACTTTGGGCATTCAAGAATCCGTCCAATACAATCAAGAACCGATTTTCCAACCATTTCATCTTCTCTCCTCTCATATCTCAACCAAGCCGATAAAACCACCTTCGAATGCACGTCAGCTGCGCGTTGGCGGGCGGATTGGAGGCACCTCCGATTCAATTTTGGGTCATCCAGACTGCACAAAAGCGCGTATTGCTCCAAATACACATCAGATTTACAAGAATCTGGGCTCTTTTTAATCCTGCGGTAGAGCTCAGCCATGGAATCAATAAAATCAACTGGTTTGAGAAACGGGTCGATGGAGGGCTCGAGAGAAACGGCCGTGGGAAGACCATAAGGAAGCAAAGACTCAGCCATTGGCAACGAAACGATCTCGGGAGAATAAGTGAGTATGGAATTAATGGTGGGTTGGGCCCGGTGGTGGTGGTGGTTCTTGGCGGCGGCGGCAGCGGCGCTACTGGAGGTTTCAGATGGGTTAAAGGCGTGGACTTGGTTAGTCTTACAACGGTCTTTGAGCTTGAAACTCCGCATAGTGTTGGAGAGGTGACGAAAACCGTACTAACGAAATAGATTCACAAATCTTGATTTGTCGGGCTGATGATTGGTTTCATCTTCAGGTCTTGGAGTAGACATGAAAGAAGGAATCTAAAACACTGTTGAAACCCAGTAATTATTAGCTCTGATAACAGATTGGAACTCTGTCTTATGAAGGGGATTCGAGCAGGGAGCGCGATGTTGATGATGGTGATGATGATGATGATGATGATGATGGGAGGCATAAAGAATCATCATCATCACCGGCTGAAATTCAACAATGGTGAATGCTTTTCAAAGTTTTCCCTTTGTCGATCTTTGAAGACTCTGAGAAGGAGAAGAAGGGGGTAAAAAAGAAAGAAAATTACGGAGGAGTATGTGGCTTTGTTGTGGATCTAAATCTAATAGATCCAATCTCATCCACTCCGTAATTTTTACTAGAGTCCACAGTAATAATAATGCCAAGCTGTCATATCCGCTGCCTCTATGATGATTATGATGGCTCCCACTTCCCATACTCTGGTTTGGAGATAGTGGTTAACTTCACTTCTTTCAAGAGTATACACCAACATATATCCCAAGTTCTATATCATAAGTATGTACCAACGCTTTAATTGTTTTAAGTTTATATTAATACAAAATTTTAGTTTAATCGAAAAATTTTGCACTAATATTTGATATAGTGTGAACCATCAAACTATCAGTGTACATATATGTAGAACTTGGGTACACTTCTAAGTGTACAAGTAGTTCTATTCTGCTAATTTAGGTACCGACGTACTGATGCCTTTTAAGGCTATGTGTTACGGTGGGACCTGACGAGGCTTGGATCCAAACAAATTGTTTGGTCGTGCAAAAATCCTTGGTTTGCCAAATCTCTTCATCTTTCTAGAGTTCTTTGTCAATTTCTTCCTTTAGTCAGTCTTTTTCCTCCTTTAGCAATTCGTTGTCATCACTCATCAAATTGTAGTCGTCCTTTATCTAAGTCAACTCCTCGCTAAGCTTTCGTTTGTCCTGCATGACCTGCGGGCCCGACCAAGTATTTTGACTTATTCAGCTTCTCGAACGACTTCTTCTCTAGGAAGGTGAAGAACATGCTATTTCTTACCGTTAGGTCTTTGATTTCTCCCTTGGTGGTGTCCAACATCTACGGCAACCGAGTAATTTTGCTAATTTTGGACATGTGATGGGAAAAATCAATACAACATTCAGTAAAAAAAGATTGATTAAATGATGAATAAACATATGGCTAAAAGAAGAGGTAGACGAACTAAGATTCTAAAAAGACTTAGAATGAAGTGGTCAAAGGGGGCCTCTGTATGAAAAATCTCGTTGCAGATATGGTACATGATGGGGCATATTGGCGTCATTTGATCCATGTAGCCGACCTCACATAATGGGATAAGACTTTGTTGTTGTTAGTGGTCGTGGTTCCTAGCACCCGATCGGCCAAGAAGAAAAAGTGAAAGAAGAGTGAGTGGATGAAGGCCTTTTCAAAAAGAAGGTATGGCACCCCCTGAAGTGTCGCGCGCTAAAGCCAATAATTAAGGATGTGACACGCGGAAAATCATCATTACCTAGACTTCCAACCCTTGATGATCGGTCATCACAAGCCCGGTAAGTGAGGGACCTAGTTATGGATATAGCTCATATCCAAGCTTGCTTAGGTGAAGTGATCAGATAAACCTTACTGGTCAAGAATAAATGATACTCAGAACGACATAAGAAAAATAAAAGAAAGTGACTAATCAAGTACTTTGAGGAGGGTGATCGGCCATTAGGTTTTGACGGAACATGTTCACCAACTCTATCTGCTTTAGAGAGCTTCATGAAACGAGGATTGCTCCTTCACGAAGTTACTTGGTCATTTCTCAAAGACAAGGCCATTTGAACAATCTCAATTAGGTGGGGCCATCATCTTGAGACATAGTTGTGCAATGCACACTAGTCCTAGTCTTAGTTGCTCGTTGAGTCACCATGATTTATCTCCTCTTACAATCACATCAGCCCGGCGTGAGGGATTTCACCTTTTGGAACAAGCAAACTTCTCAAATCTATAAATTCTATGGGGAGAGGAGAGAGAGATGAGGCAATCACTTCTATAGACACAAAAACCATTACACTCTTGAGATAGAGTACAAAATAATATTGGCACGGGAGATCTTCCCCGGATTCAATACTTTGTTATATTTTATACTTATATTTATCATTTAATTCCTTTCTCGTGAATTTACGCGGTTAAGTAAGACTTGTCCAGACTATGTGCTACCCAATTATATTTACATCATCATCAGTTCATCATCTATATTAGTACTCCCTCCGTCCTATATCTTTCTTCCCGTTGCGCAAAACGAAGAAAAATCCCAAGTTTTTTCAATCTATTTTATTTAAATATTGGTATAGAAATAAAAAATAAAACATACATATTTAAAAACTATATCAAAAGTTCAATAAAACAAGTGGTGACAAGAATATTTTATTTTATCATATAGGCCATGAAAAAACACAAATAAATATAAATTCTCGTGAAGTTGGAATAGTGCTCTGGGAAGAAAGTTTTAGGACGGAGGGAGTATTATAATATCGACTATTCCAAATGATATATATATATATATATATATATATATATATATATATATATATATATATATATATATATATATATATATATATATATATATATATATATATATATATATATATATATATATATATATACACACCCGTAAAAGATCAGTTGGAATAGACGGGGAAACGATAGCATTCCATTAATCACCATCCATATTCCCTTCTATTTCAGTGGTCATTTTCGAACATAAACTAAAGCAAATTATTCCGTTTAATAATAAAAAAAATAAGAATAATACTTAATTATATTAATGATAGTAATAATAATAATAATAATGACGACGTTTGTGGTGGCCGTTGTTTCCACGACGACAGGTCACTGCTACAACTATTTCAGTAATTTGTTTGTCATTTGTTTTTGGTTTTGTTTTTTTGGTTGGATACTAAAATGACCACAGGTCACTCGTACATGTACCAATTCAGGCCCCTCACCACTTGTCTTTTAATTTTTTTTGTCACTCTCTCACGTTCCCAAAAATAAATAACGTGCCCACACATTTCCTAGTTTCATTCTGATTCTTTAGGACAAGGACTGCTCTAATGATATGTTTGGTAGGGTAGAAACAAAAAAGTACCCCCCCCCCCCACCCAAAAAAAAAATCAGTGTAACGGTTAACAAAATGTGACTGGTTTTATTTTAATTCTATTTATTTAAGTATATTGGTTAAAATTTAAATAAAAGAATAGAATTAATATATTCCATAAATTTCGTCAAAATATATGGAGTATTAAATCAGATATAACTTTAGTATGTTACTTTAACAAGATTAATAAGAATAATAAAAGGAAGAAGATGTATAGTTTGTCCTGCAAGTAGTGTTGAACTAATAAATTACAACCCAAAGATCTAATCCAACAATATTCATGAAACAATCCCAAACACCCTGCACATAGCTCTTCTGCTACATTGAGATTTATTGATCATTTTTAGTACATACTATAGACATGGGAATTACATGAGAAGCTTGCAGTGTTTTGAATCCATCTGAAACTACTGCAACAACAAGAAACCTAGTAGAACCCACAAAAGGCGGGGCTCGGAGGGTGAGTGCACACAAAACTTATCCCTATTTAGGTCTATTTTTGGAGTAGAGAAGCCGTTTCTAAGAGACTCCCGGTTACTACACATAATATACACATGATGATTGTCAATGGTGTCATCAAGCGAGTGAGATGAGTAAGAAACGCGGGTTCTTGTGGTAATATGTGCAAAGCCCACGGATTCTTCTTCTCAGTGTTGCTTTAGATCACTGTCATGATCCAAAGCTTGTGTTTCTTTATATACAGATACACAATACACGGGTCCACTAGCTCTGCATCTGAGAGTCGTTTGCACAGTTTAAGATAGGTATGCATACCTCCTGGCTGGCGAATCCGTTGTTGTAGTCCTTGAAGCACGACCACTCTGTCCAAAAATGCAGGAGTAAGACCCAGGTCAAGCATTTTCATTAGTGTTTCAGCTGCCTTCTCAAAATGGCCTCCTTTAATGTAACCTCTCATCAACCACGAAAGACTCTTCTTTTTCTGCAAAGAAGTTGATGTGTCCATTATGGTGAGTAGCCTTCCAATGGGCCCGGTTTCGTTTTGGGAAGCACATATCGCTAATACAATATCATAAAGATCTCTTTTCACTTCTTTACCTTCGAGTTTCATTTGCCAGATATGTTTCTCAGCTTCAACTCCCTGCCTAGAGCATATATACATTGTGAGAAGCCTTTCGTGGATGGTCCCATAGAGGGATGGGTCCCCTTCTTGAAAGGCCCAATCAGAGAGACGCACGCCGTCAGCTAGAAGATCAGTTTGGTATTTCACGGTCGAAGTGAAGTTTTCAATCTCAACAACCAGACCAGATCTGGTGAAACTTTTTAACTTGTGTAACGCTTTGCCAAATTCCTTTATGGTATGTTTGGGAACATGGATTTGGATTTCAAATCCGGATTTGGCTTAAATTCCATGTTTGGGAAACTTAAGCATTTTGAATTTGGATTTGAATCAAATTCTTTACATTCAAAACCAAGCTTAATTTAAAATCCATGCACCTCCCCTTGTCATTTGAAATTCAGGATTTCAAATTTTGGATTTGAAATGCATGAATTAAAATGAAATGCTAGTTGCCAAACACTACNTAACTTGTGTAACGCTTTGCCAAATTCCTTTATGGTATGTTTGGGAACATGGATTTGGATTTCAAATCCGGATTTGGCTTAAATTCCATGTTTGGGAAACTTAAGCATTTTGAATTTGGATTTGAATCAAATTCTTTACATTCAAAACCAAGCTTAATTTAAAATCCATGCACCTCCCCTTGTCATTTGAAATTCAGGATTTCAAATTTTGGATTTGAAATGCATGAATTAAAATGAAATGCTAGTTGCCAAACACTACCTTAGTTCTTTTAGCACGGCTGACATAGCAATTAGATAGCTGTATGCATCAGGCTTCAATCCGCAACCTCTGATGTTAATCACTAATTTCACTGCATCTCTGTAATTTCCTTCCTCCTGGTAAGATATACACCAATTAATGTCAGAAATGATAACAACAACAACAGCAAACCCAGTAAAATCCCACAAAAAGTAAGGACTATTACTGTCTGAAATGACAACAAATTGCTGTCAGAACAACAACAACAACAACCCAGTTAAATCCCACAAGAGTAGGGTCTGGGGAGGGTGTGTGTACGCAGACCTTACCCCTACTCGAAAGTAGAGAGGCTGTTTCCAAAGAGACCCCTGGCTCAACGTCGATTGCTTGACTAACTGCTACTTCATTAATTAAAGAAGCGCAGACATTTTAGAGATCCATTTTGATTTATTCCATCACACCCCAAAGCCAAAAAATGGTGAAATTTTGGCTCCATCGGAGATGATGGAAAAATTGGTAAAGAAATGGTTGCAATTTGAATACTTAGAAACTCAATATGCTAATGTGGAGTACATTCAATTCACGATGAAACTTTATTCTACTGCTAGTTGTGACAAATTGGCAATGTCTGAAATGTTAATTGTTGATAGGCAAAGTTAAATGGAGAAATATGAATCTCCTCTTGCTCTATTATGTTACTAAGGCACAGTTCGATATCCATAATATGTTTCTCGGTGGCATAAGTAACATTTGACTTATTTGGCTGAGATGAATGTTACTCCCTCTCTCCCAATATCATCTTTGATCTTCCCACATGCCTTCGTTTGGATGTCCAAAAATCATTTTCCCATGCTCTGTTTTTGGAATCTTAAACTAGTGAAAAGATGCGTTCACCCCCTCAAGTGCCTCAACTAACCACAAATTCTACCCAATTAGTTACATGGGGAAGTACCTTTAGGGACATACGGGGTACTAAACAATTTTCTTTTAACAAAAATCTTTTGGCTGTTTCGGCTAAGTGACCCTGCCAAAAGGGCCCTAAGCCACAAAATAACTGGATATTAACTAGCATGAAGTTCACAACATTGTATGTGGAAACATGGCATCACTCGACAAGTTCGCCAAAGAATGTCACATGAAGCAAAAGCAACTGATGAATTCGCATGAACCTCGAATTTCTAGATGTGGAAGCCACGCTAGTGTGAACTCCAGTAAATCCGAACATTTTATCGAATCCGCATCAATTACTTTCTCATTTCCCATTCCTAGTAATATATTCCAATTACCAAAACAATCCAAGACAAGACCAAAATGTATTGTAAGAACATTGTTGGGCATTCCGAACTTAAAGTTGTACATTTAGCACAGGTCAGAGTAATTCAAAAAACACAAAGAAGATGCACTAAGAAAGCATTCGCCCCACCACATATGCGATAATATTAATTTTACTCTCTTGAAGAAACAATTTAGGAAGAGATATAAATTGATCTTCCCAATTTCCTCTCATAAAATTGAGATAGAGGAAAGAAAAATAAGGAAGGAGAAGAAAGAAAAAAAGAAAGATCACAAATTACTTTTTTACCCTTACACTCATGTCCCAAGACATATTTGGCTTTTTAGCATTTAAGAAAAGTGTTACAAACTAAAGCGTGTAATTATAATTTGTTTAGAAGAAAGAGAAATGTTTTGAGATACACATTCCTTTCCTAGACAGAAAATGGGAGAAGTGTAAAGTTTATTTTAGGATAGCCAAATAAATAAGTAAAGTGTGAAGTTCTTTATGATACCGAGAGAGTATAAATTAACAACTTTTTTATCATAAGGGTTAAAAAACTTAAAATAGTTAATTTGAAATGAATACAGTACTATTTTCTCTCCAACTTGAAGAGAGAAAACTCACAGAAAAGTACCACTTGTTTTCCATTCCTTTACTTTTTCCCCTTATTTCCCAGACAACGGAAAACTAAAACTCTTATATTCTCTTCTCATTTTCGGTCTTTCCATACAGCATATTAACGTTTTGTCAGAATGGTGTTCCACATTTGACCTTGAATAAATACAGCTAGCACAGTTCAATACAATTCAAATACGTGGAGAAGACACTGAAAGAGCATTTGCACCACTATAGCATACAAGCAAGCATAAAAAAAATATAAGAGTGCTAAGAGAAGGCATCGTTTCTTACCATCATTTTGTAAGCAAGAAAACCGACTGGACAACCCTTGTGCCCTTCAGTATCACCAACGGAGTAAGATATTTGCCTCCTGAGCACCTCCTTCACAAAACCAATTGCCCTCTCCTTCTCACCCGCCTCCCAATACAAAGAAACCACCATCTTCATCATACTAAAACCCGGCTTCAACCCCACCCAGTCCATGTCCACCAGAAGATCAACCACATCGCTAACCTCACTCTTCGAATCAATCAACTTCTTAACCCATCCATACATTATTGAAACCATGAGCTTCATCGTTTCCTTGTCCACTCTGTTCTCCTTCCTAAGCCAATCAAACACCTCCAGTGCACACCATGAATCCCTCCCCTCCTGAGAAAAATACACCAAAACAAGTTGCAAATCCCGG